TATAATATATATATCTTGGTAGTAGAGAATCTTTGCCATAGCGACACTGCAGACAGGAAACAGGGCCTACCGAGTTGAACCGTCTTGTTATTGTTATCCAAGCGTCTTTGGACTTACTTGCATGAGAGATGAACTAAGCTACTTTCGTGCAAACGATGTCAGAAACAACTGTTAGTGTTAGATCTAGATCTACGCAATATTGATCGGAATAAGACAAGGTCACAAAAATGGAGTCAAATCCTAGGAGTTTTATTCCAGAAACTGAGAAAGCTTCCACAATTCAGGCAGAGTAGCGATGAAAAGTAGGTTATTAGAAACGATTCTACTAGTATTGTCGTTTCAAATAGTACGGGAGCTATTCAGAACGCGGCGTTTCAAATAGCGCCGACCAATAATGTAAATTTTGAGTTTCCAAAGACTCTTCAGCTATGGAAATTACCAAACTTTGGCATTCATTTCTCTCTAGTTTACCTCTGAAACCAGGCGACCCTAACCTCCTTCAATCGCAAATATTTCGACTTCTATTCAAGATAGATGGATATTGTTTCATCAAAAGCAAGACAAAATGAACAGGCTTTAAGATAATACCAATAACCTCATATGCCCCAAAATGGCGAGCGCCTGATCCCACCAAGTCCTGACACAAAGGATTAAGGTTTTTGCTAAGTAAAACTTATACTAACTATATGTGATGCTGGGGAATTAGATAAAAAGGAAGCATGACGAAAAAATATCGTCGCCCTAATGGTAAAACCGGCTAACCCACAATTTATTTTAATTTTATTTTTATTATTTTTTTGTAATCGACAGAAAATTATCCATTTCATTTGATTAGCCAAAGATGACAGGTCTAAATGTTCTTAAACGTTAGAGAAGAAAGTTTGTATCACATACGTATATCCTTCTTTCTGTTTGAATACCGTATCCCATACGACCCACGTCGGTCCCTGTGTAACCATGGTCGGGACAGCCAACCTTCTGATTTGTCTATGCAATGGGATCGTACCGCTTCACAGCCATCAATTGATATAATATTACTCTTAGTGAGGAATCGCACATAGAAAGCAGGATAAAAAGAGATTCTACGAGGGGTGCATGTTTCGATTCAGAAGTTTGAGTTCGAGTAAAGAGAAGCACGTCGACACAATAATGGTCATGTAGAGCAGGGGAGAAGCAAGACAGGTTCAGACAGACAGATACAACAAAGGGAAGAGAAGAAGCAGGACCTACCAGTGGCGCCCCCCAACCACCCGTGTTTCGATTTATGAGCATGCTTACTACATGTACGAGTGTTCTAGCAATCGGTGGGTAGGTGTCAATAAACCAAATAAGAAAACATATAAACATGTAGACCCTATAATTTCTAAAAGGAAAATATGAGGTGGGGGG